GCTCGGTTACCTCCATATCAATTTGGCTAATAATTGTATGTGCATGTTGAACTTCTTTCATGCTGTACAAAGCCAACCGTACTAATTGGAGGTGCGGGGGAAGGACAACAAGCTAAACACAACAAAAACAGTTCCTAAGAAATTAGTTTTCAATCAGACTGGCTCAGGTGTGAATGCAATGTATGTTGTTAAGATGTACATATATCCATAACTGGCTACTGGAGCCATGTGTTTAGGCAAATAACACATTTTGGAGTTTCTACAGTCGGCAGATCGTCACGTCATCATGCATGGGAATGGCACCAGAAGATGACACCACAGAATTACTGGTCGAGTGACTAAACTAGGTCTCTCTTTACCAACACCATCTTACATTAATTATTGTTCTGGGAAATGGTGGTTTCTTACAAGTCATTCGTCTAAGATGTTTGTAAATGTTACTTTTAACATATTAACGGTACATATAAATCAGTTTAGATCTTGGACATAAAGAAATACTGCATGAACCACTGCTGGAACATTGCTTTCTACAGCATTGGTTAGAGATAGAAAGTCTGGCTTAACATGTTGTCTCTTAGAGCAGAGGTTCTCAATCATGTTGGACCAATAACCCATTAAGTCCTGTACTCTCCTGCCTTTTTGTACCGTTGTGGACCTCACCTTGACCTTTAATAATCCCTGCGAACGATACCTGCTGCCACTTAGAGCCTTACATAACCCTGGTTAAGAATCCCTCATTGACAATGTATGTATGTTGAACGTAGCCAACTGTGCTCATCGGAGGTGGAACGAGCGAGTTGATTACTGCCCGTCTCACCAAAGCTCTGCGTCTATTATAATACGATTTTACACGTCCCTGTTTTACATTGCCTGACGGCCCTTTAGTCCTTGTTTACAGACGAGCTGGCACACCAATCGCGCCCGAGATCCCAGCCACCGGTCGTGGCGATCCCCTGACGCTTTGCTCGATTTGACCATTGAGTGACCTCGATGCCAGCCAATCAAGTCCTGGGCGGCCACAGCCGGGGCTGGACTCGGCCACAAATTATATAGATTGCCACGCCAGGCAGAAGTAAACCTGTCTGCACAAATATCAGGAATTTTTAAAGATTCAAGCAAATTGTCAATTTTTTGCGCGCCGACAGAGGAATGGAAACGGTGGTACATTTCTCGTCAGCACCAGTGCCTTCAAAAAAAAAATCCACCTAATACACAACAAGTAGAGTACCCCGCCAAAACCACCTTCCCCCTCCTGGCTCCTGCCGATCACTTGACCCCCTTTGTCTTCCCAATGCAATGACGTCTCGTTACTTTTCATCCCCCCAGATTTCTGTCGCCCCCCCCCCCCACCCCGGCTACGACCAGGCCTGTATCTCAACCCCTTCTCATCAATCCCCCTTGTTTTCCTGTCAACAAAACTACACCGCCGCTTACAATAACCCAATTCTTCATTTAAAATCACTATCATCGTTGCTATGTAGAATTTTATAATCGCTGTGAAGCACCTTGGTAAAGGCGCTATATAGATCTCGATAAGATTATAAGATAACACACCATCTAAATCTCCCAAGTTACTCCTGAATCTGCAATACATTATGGCCCGGCTTCCAACATAACCACCTGCCTGACCGCCTGCCCGCCATCACCACCACCGTGAAGGAATAATGGTGGCAGGCAGATAACACCCAGGGCAATGTGTGGAGACAATGCGATGTCTGCCGCAATCACTCTGCGTGCACACACACACACAGTATGTGCATTGGCTGATCTGCTGTGGCACAGAAACCAGGCCAAGGAGCCTGATTGAATTAGTGTCTTAAACAACACGGCCGGCAGCAACAACATCGTCATGTCTGTGTGCCCGTTGTTGTGTCACTTAGTGTTTACGTGAAAATTACAACAGTATTCAGAGAAATATGTCATTGAATTTAAGTCGTTTTGAAGTGAAAATTGCCTGTTGAGGGCCCCATGGACCAAGTAGCATTATTACTTCTATCATACTTATTATTTTCAGCCCCTTGTCAATCACTCTTGGATTAAATATAATTCCAGCCCTTTGTCAGTACACCATAGCATGGGTAGGCCACCGTAAGCCTTCAAGAGCGCCACGTTGGGGAGATGTGAACTCCCTCGCTTGGTATACAGGAGGTCGTGGGTTTGATCTCGACCTTGACGCCTGCATATTTGGAGTTAGCGTGTTTAACTCGTGGTTACGTGGATTTTTCTCCGGGTTCTCAAGTTTTTCCCCGCATTAAAAAAAAATGCCTTTAGAGTATTTGGCTGTTATACATTTCCACGTGATAAGCTACTTCGTTGAGCTATCATTTGTGGCCAGGTCGTTTCTGAAAAAGAGCTGTACAGCTCAGTGGGGCTTACCTGGTAAAGTAAAACATTGTTTAGTTTATGAGGGTTGTTTGACCATACTTCATCATTCTGGTCAGTAAAGGTTGGCAAGGAGGGACCCAGTGCCAGTAAAGATGTCTCTTGCCACCGACGTTAGCCGTGGCCACCAATTTAACTCAGGTGGCTGAGTTCGTGGTGCAGTGCATCAAGCACTGCGCCGCTGTTCCGCTCCCCTCCTCCAACAACGCACGGACCAGTGTGGTGAAGTAAGGTCAAGAATTCCCAACATGGTGTGTGTGGGGAGGCCTTCATTCAGCAGTGGGTTGACAATGGGCAAATTTGTATGAAAGAAACTGCAATGTTCTATGTACATTACTTCCATACATGTTTTAGCAAATACAGATATTGTTGGGAAACTACTGCGTTCGACTATGAGTGTGTATATTTTGTGCGTTTCATTTACTTGGTAAACTATAACTATTCCAAATGATGCTAGAAAAGGCAACGAAGTGCAATACATTTAATCATTTATGATGTCAACTCTTGGTAAGCAAATGAAATGACAAATTTAACACTATGCTCGTCTAAGACCGCATTGTCAGGGTGTTCCACTTTAGCTACTTTAGCCACTCCTACCGGAAATCTGTGAAAAAGAGCTTAATAGCCCATCGGATTCCTCCTCCAGTCCAAACAAAGATTCCGATTCTACTCATCGCACGCTGCGGTGGAAACTTATCGAAGTGGATCACGGGGACGCGCAAAACGTTCCATCCATCGTTTCCGTACACTAGTGAGGGACGGCAATCGCACAAGCCAATGCATGGCCCGTCAAACACGGCACTCCGTTTATTCACAACTCGTTGGATGCTAAATGCGGCGGGTTTTTTCAACTTCACATTCCAACCGATTTCTGGGGGTCACAGCGCATTCACTCATTCTGGTGCCTCTGCGTCACGTTGCGGACCACCGGAGTCGCTTGGTCTCCTTCGTTATAAAAACTGGGGCAAAGCGTTTAAGTGTCACACCGCTCGGATGAGGCTTGGGCATTGCTCATCCAGTTTGGCAGCCCCGCGACATTCTTGAGAGTTCCTTGTTCCTTTTGTGGGGATGTGTCTTGGCATTAGCGCACACTTTAGTGAAACACTAAGTGGTTCTTACCACGCGGCACTCATTTTACAGGCCCCTGGAGGAGTGTTGGGAGCGAGTCCACACTAGCTGGGAATTAAACTCATGATCTGAACATTACAAGCTTTGCTGTACTACCAACTGAGCAATGTCATGCGTAAGCCGTACTGAAATGTGGAAGTGCTAATACTTGAAAGTAATTATTGTTACAGCGAACTAGTTATAGACATATTTAGAACATGAGCAAAGCACTGCAATAACCAGGGAACATGACATTTCAGTCATTCTGTGTTTTATATATACAATTTTTTTTATTACTTATGATAATGTAATTTACACGAATTTGTCCATTACAATTCATTATCTGCTTTTCTTTTTCCATTTTATTTCAGTTGCTATCTTTAGCAGTTTGCAAGTCGATTGCACGCAAATTTTCAAATGCAGGATTCTTGCTGATTCTAGAAACTCCGTGATCTTTGGTTGTGAATGACGTCACAAGGTCACGGATGTCTGTTTGCGGTAATCTGGGGAGGAGAAGATTCACATAAACGTAGCGAGTAAATGCAACTGCATCTGAAAGCGAAAATAACAGGATCAGCAGGGCAACGGTGGGAGAATATTAACTCACAATAAGACTCAATAACAGAATTAGAATCTTTGTAATATAATAACACATCATAACCCACAATAACACAATGTAAGTTGAATATCTTTTGCAACACACAATACCACGCAGTAACACAATAACGTGCAATAACACAATCTATATCTATATACAGGGTGTTTGAAAGAGATGGACCCGAATTTAAATTGCTATATCTCTGCAACCACGAACCGCCCATGAATGAAACTCTTACCGCTTGAAAGGGCGGGGCAGAGAGAGGGAGGGGCATAGAGAGGGCGGGGCAGAGAGAGAGGGCGGGGCAGAGAGAGGGCGGGGCATAGAGAGGGCGGGGCATAGAGTTTCAAATGATGACCGCTAGATGCCTCTCCCAGCGCACAAACAGCCCCTAGCTTCAGTCACTCTCTAGATGGTGACCCCAGCGCACAAACAGCCCCTATCCTCAGTCATTGGCAAGACGGTGACCCCGCAACACAAGGGTCGTTTTGCGTTCTGCAGTTCAGCAAGACTCAATCCGTAATTGCGGTGCAGCGTGCGTTTCAACGGCGTTTTGGCATTGATCCGCCAATGTCAAAGAGCATTCGTCATTGGTACTGATAATTTGAGGCTGTTTATGTAAGGGGAAGAGCACAGGGCGACCACGCACCTCAGAGGAAAACGTGAGAAGAGAGGCGTTTGGGACGAATTCAACTATCCTCGCGATGTCGTCCGTACAGCAGGTGGAAGGCGCGTAGAGCATTTATAAAATGTTTAGCAAAACTCGATAACGCATTAAACCGTTTGTAACTTTTTGCGTAATTGTAACACGTTGCCATCTTGAAATTTACTGCTTTGAAATTGGGTTCATCGTTTTAAAGCACCCTGTATATAAACGCCTCGCTTTATCTGTGATGCACGCTGCACTCCCCAGCGTTTTCATGCAGAGGGCGCGGACAGACGTTCGTTGGAATCGATCTGCATCGACCAGGCCCCCATCCACACGACTTTGCCATTTGTTCTACAATGACGACGACAATAATTTCCCAGCTCTCCCCGCGTACGCTATCACTATCAACGTGTCGCAGGGACAGACGTTCCATGACGTTGGTAAGCGCACAACTTTATCTATCTTTCTATGAGGAATAATATCTACATATGTATAAAAGGGACATTTGTGATTATGTGTGTCTGTTCAAAATGTTTAGCATGCTTCCCGACATGCAACAAACTTGAAATATGACACGTGGGTACTTTCCAGACTGTACACCATGCAAAAATTATAAAAATACACTTTTGTATTTTTGGGAGGGGGGGGGGCAGGGGGCTCAGTAATGCATTTTTTTTGCACGGCAAGTGAGCTGTGACGTCACATCTGTCATGTGACCCGCGCATGTGGAAGCGTAACGCATTGTAGTGTAGTGGTTAGTGCGCTGCACTACGAACCCGGCCACCCGAGTTCGATTCCCGCTCATGGCCACTGCCGGTGACGATTATTTTAACCGGTCCTGGGCCTCCCCTAGGTCGACTCAGCCTCAAACGAGTAACTGGTGTGGTGTGTGAACATCGCCACTGGGGAGACAAAGGCGGCTGGGCGTGGTGAATCCAAGTCCCGGGCGAAGCCTGGCAGTAAAGCTAGTAATAAGATAACACTTCTAAACGGAGCATCGGGTGCTTGCGGGAATGCGTCGTTCGTGTGCAAAAATGTTGTGACTTTCCTGGCCGAAGGCCGGAAATGCATTTGTGAGCGGGCGCCATAGGCGCCCCCAAACAACTACTCATACAATAACACACAATAATACACAATAGCACAATAACCAACAAAGACACAATGACAAAAACAACCACCATCCGCCACTAAGTGCTGGTGATGTCACCACAGCGCTTGTGCCAGGCTACGTGCACTTTAATAGCACAAATAACACACACATAAACCACACAATAACAGTGCAATGTGTGTGTGGGGGGGGGGGGAAGGCAAAAGAGAGGATACACAGCAGCTGTAATTTGCCAGCGAATGAATGTGCTGGCTGGGCTGTGTGATTCAACCTGCAGGGCCTGCATCTTTGGCAGGAGGGACTGTTGTCTTGTTTCACCGACTTTTGAGATGTTGCCACTTCCTTTATTTTATGAAACTGTTGTTTTATTTTGGCCCGTTTTCTAAAGGCACGCCGATGGCTATATCAGACACAGATGACCCGCTATATAAAGGTGAAATTGGATTAGAATGGTCATGATGCTTTCCTGCGTGATGCTTTCAAAAGGGACAATCAGATATATGAGACTGGTGGCCAAATTAAATAGTGTGTATGCATATGGCCTGTGCATTTTTGTTCTGGCTGCGATGCAATACAGTATTTATATTGTGCCTATGATTAAAGAACCACTCCGAGGCCCCTAACAAAAAGGCCATCCTTTACATTTTCATCAGACGTGCTATCTCCACTTCTGGATGAAGACCTCCCCAAGTCAAGTCACAGTCACGTGATACGGCAATCCATGTCGCTCCTGCACATGAGCTGGTTTCATCGCTCAATCTCCACAGTGGTCATCCTCCTCCACTCGTTGCCATCTTTGGCTGCCACTCCTTCGTCAGTCTCAACCATCGCCTCTCGTCAGCTAAAGCAACGCGTGTCCTGCCCCGAGCCCACTGCTTTTCTTCACAGTCAGTTATGATGCATCGAACTTGTGTTCTACGATCCGTGTGTCCTTCTGTCTGTCTCTCGGTGTCATCCCGTGGATGAACTTCACCCACGCTTCTTCGCACACCCTTCAGGTTTTGTTCCGTGCTATTTGTCAGCGCCCCATCTAAGCATGCCACAACGCTCGCACCTGGTGTTTGCGTACGGTTGTCACCCATCCAAGCAACTATCCAGGCTCAAGCCTGCTTAGCTGCCGACACCTGACGAGATCGGGAGCAGTGCGATTAATTTGTTCCATAGCCGAATGCTATAGTGCAGCCCCACAAAAATTGCCAGGCTGTGAGGAGCTGAATCGTCAACTCCAATGAATCTGGACTGGGAGTGTGTCTCCAATCCTCTTGGCCTCCGGAAAGATGAACAAGGTATTAAGACTGGAGGGCAAGCCCACACCAAACAATAGCCGTTTCTGAGTTTTTAAGTTTGCACATTCTGTTACTCTGATCGCCTTTTACGATGATTGCTTGCTTGCCTCTTGCGACCAGCTGAGCACGCCACGGTGCCTGGGGGATATACGAAGGGTGGCTGAATGTATTGCCGAGCAACGCATTTGCAAGGCACAATGTGTTTCCTTCCGAGCACCGAACGCCCGGCGTGTCACTAGGGCGGTAGGGAATTACGCCTTAAAAGTGGGGCTTATTTCCCTTTTTATTGGCCCATGAAAGGGGAATTGTTTAAAACGGTGGAAGGTGTGTTTTTTTTATTTAAGCCCAAAAATTGGCAGAGAGAGAAAAAAACATCGTTCAGAATGCAAGTTCATTTCAATTTAGGATTAAGAAATACCAAACCCTTCGTCAGAGTAAACCTAAAAAACATAACAGAACCCCTCCCCCCATAAGTCGCATATGCAGTTGAGCAAAGTGCTGTGAGTGAGCACCTATTAAGACTGGCAACGCGCGCGTGGATTCCCTCATCGTTTGTGTAGGAAGTTGTGAGTGAGTACTCTACCAACTAAGTCCGCCATGCTTCACCCGAGTGGGTGGATGGCTTTGGCTGAGTCGACCGATGCGAGTCCCATCCCAGCTTCAAATAAAAATGGTCAAACTGATGTGCAAACCGAGGTTAACAAAGGCTGTAAAAACATTGCACCACGCCACCACTTTCAAGCAAATCCAGACTCAACGCTTGCAATAATTTCCCCCACCTGTCCTGCTCCAGAGAGAACTGTTCGTCGCACGGCAATCAGACACATTTCAAATTAAGTTACAAAAAAACAAAGGCTCTCATTGGTGACCGTGCTGAGGCGATCAACCCAGCACCTACACTTGAGAACCCGGTTTGATCACACAGGTAGCTGAAACCTAGATTCAAACCCAGCAGCATACAGGGGCGGAGCCACAGGGGGGGGGCGGGGGGGGGCTTAGTCCCCCCTGAAATTTTGGGAAAGTCGGTAATCAGGATAACCGGATATCCGGCTGCTGCAAAATGCTGCTGGCTGCACCTCGTGCTGCCCTGCAGGCTGCCACCTTGTGTGCTGCCCTGCAGGCTGCCACCTTGTGTGCTGCCCTGCAGGCTGCCACCTTGTGTGCTGCCCTGCAGGCTGCCACCTTGTGTGCTGCCCTGCAGGCTGCCACCTTGTGTGCTGCCCTGCAGGCTGCCACCTTGTGTGCTGCCCTGCAGGCTGCCACCTTGTGTGCTGCCCTGCAGGCTGCCACCTTGTGTGCTGCCCTGCAGGCTGCCACCTTGTGTGCTGCCCTGCAGGCTGCCACCTTGTGTGCTGCCCTGCAGGCTGCCACCTTGTGTGCTGCCCTGCAGGCTGCCACCTTGTGTGCTGCCCTGCAGGCTGCCACCTTGTGTGCTGCCCTGCAGGCTGCCACCTTGTGTGCTGCCCTGCAGGCTGTCCCCTTGTGCTGCCCTGTAGGCTGCCACCTTGTGCTGCCACCTTGTGTGCTGCCCTGCAGGCTGCCACCTTGTGCTGCCACCTTGTGTGCTGCCCTGCAGGCTGCCACCTTGTGCTGCCCTGCAGGCTGCTTGAGCGGCAGCCTTTCGAACTTATCGAACTTATTAGCCACATCAGCGGCTCCGACCTATTAATAAACTCCGCGTTCAAATCCAATAATATTTGTTTTATACATTTGTGGCGCCCATTGGAAAACATAAACACTGGATATCTCAGAAATATTGAAGTCAGCCCCCCCCAAAGTCAAAATCCTGGCTCCGCCCCTGGCAGCATGTCAGCGATGCCAGATAAACAACACGAATTGTATACTGTACTGTATTTTTTTTTTTTTAAATCAGGATTTGCACATCGGTGTTTTATTATAAACCAACAGTGGGGGAATATTGAATAAATAGACTCATTTTATTGTATTACTGCCCATGGCAAAATGTTCAGGAGCTAGATTCCAATGTCAGTCTAAATAAAGATTCTGATTCCAATTCTGTCGAGGTCTGCTGGCCACGAGAGGGCTCCGGGAGAGAGTTCGCGTGGCCCTGCTATCATCGTGGTTTGTTTCTAAATAGAAAAAGTATTGGCCACGAGAGCAGGAATGTCGGCCGTACGCTGCCGGGCACGAATGAGTGCGACACCAAGAGTCTCTCCCTATTCCTGCCTCCTCTCGTAAGATGAAACGCGTCGCACCTTTCTTGCCGATTTCCAAGATGAATACTGTGAAATCCCACTCGTTCTGAACGATAAATTCAACACTGTTTAAGGTGCGTTTGTGGAGCTACATTTGTTGCATGCGCGGGAGGGGAGCAGGACCATTTCGTGAATTCCACAAGCGCATAATTACACGATCCATCATCCCCGCGTCTCAAGACAACGCGTTGCAAGCGTGCGCCACCCCACCTTGAATGCCTTTGAATGACGGTTGTCCGATACAGACATCAGTTGTCATGCTTGTCACGCGCGTACACGCGCACGGGCACGCTTTTAATAGCCTCGGCGTGCGCACCCTTGTTAACGCTGGCTGTGCCCGCCGCACACATCGCGGCACATCGCGCCGCTCGCCGTGAAAAAAATCGTTTCAATGCCCCACGCTGGTCCGTTCCACGTTCGCAGTTTCCACTGCTGTGCTCGCCGCCGCCGCCTGTAAGTGGAACGCAGCGGCACTACTCGCGTGGGTCTTTCGCGGTTGGGCTGGACAGCCCTCCGACGCGTTCGTTCTTCTGGGCTGAGCCGTGTGTTGATCGGTATGATGTCCGACGTTTCGCCTCTTGCGCTCGAGGCTTCCTCGGTGGTCCGTTCTTGGGTTGTTGCCTTGCGTCGTCCGGCATCGTGACTGACATTTCTCGTTCCACGCGATGGGAGCTCGTCCATTTTCGCAGTCGGTTCCTGAAGCAGCTCCCCGTGCGTGCCGCGAAACGTCGGACATCAACACGCGGCACATATAAGAAGGCACATCGGCGAGCGGTATGAAACGTGTAAAGCTCGGCCGCTTAATCCAGCGTGAGTGGCCGAAGGGGCTC